ACGACAAGCGAAAAGGTTCATCAACCATTCGCATAACCGAGCCAAAGAGCTACTCAGCCTCAGCAAACCAGAGCTAAAGCTTGTCACAGGCTTTCTCACAGGACACGGCCCTCTGAGGTACCACCTCGAAAAGATGGGCCTGGCGGAGACTGACACTTGCCGCTTTTGTAACAATGCAACCGAAACCGCGGAACACATACTTCGCTCATGTGAAGTATTTGTCCGCCAAAGGCTGAACCACTTAGAACAGGTCTACCTCACCCCTGCTGAAGTGGAAAATTCAACCGTCAGGAAGATTGTAGGCTTCATCAGAAGTCTAGGGTTAGAGGACGAAAACTAGATAGGGGTAATCACAATAGATCTTCTAGGTCGCAGTGATCGAGAGGTCTCCCATTCTATACGACCCATCTACAATCTATAATCTACTATAGCCATCAGCTCCAAAAATTGACATCAATAAGTTATCTACTAGTGAAATTTCGATACTATTTAATTCATTCGCGTTCATCATTGGATTTTTGATTTTGAACTTGTGATCCTCCTATCCATTTGAGGTTCTAATGGTGAACCTTCTCTGGAGGGGCAAAAATATTCCTCTGAAGTGTCCCCAATCGAAATAAAATCGACCTGTCTTCTCGATTTTTCAAACTATTTACTGATGGAAGAGAGTGTATCAAGGGTAGGTTTTCAAATTGACAGCCTGTATATCAGGCTCACCTCCAGCCCGTATATAGCGGCAGACTTTGAAGAAAAAAATTTGCAAAAGCTGACGTTAATGGGCTTTCATTTTCACCATAAAAAATGCCATCAACCTATCTCAACTATAATCGAAATTTGCTACCCATCAAGGTAGACCACCACTGAAACTTAATTAATCTATTCGTATTATTTTACGACTGCGTGAAATATTGCTTTTTGACAGACTCATTTTAGAATGAACCTATATTCAACAATCGGCATTCAAGTTATCATCGATGATCACCAGAGCTGGGCAGTACTCGAGTACAAGTACTCAAATATTGTACTCTGAGTACATTTTGTGTACTCAGTACCCAGTACCCGAGTACATTTTCAATAAAGTACCCGGTACTCGTACCCGTAGCATTTCGGGAAAAGTACCCGGTACCCGCGTTTATTAAACAAGTACATTTTTCGGGTACTTTTTGCAAGAATAAACTTGTCTCTGCATATGCGAGTGCAACACGGGAAACCGCTGTTATATGTTATATGTTATATCATCATTATCAGTCAGCACTTCAATCAGAACCAAACGCGGAGTTTTTGTTTTGTACACTGTGTAACAGTTATAGAGTCAAGTGTTTTTTGTATCGATTCTGTTGTTTTCTTAAGACTAAACCACACTAAACTAAGAGGTAAGGGTATAGTATTGCAAGTTAAGTTGTTTCGTTTAATAAATATGGTTACTAATACTGATGCAAAATTTCTCAATTCTCTATTCAAATGTACTTGAAATGAGTACCCGTGAAATTCGGGTAATTGTACTCGGAGTACATCCAATGAGTGGGGTACTCGGTACTCTGTACTCGTTCTTCAATTATAAACAGTACCCGGTACTCGGTTCTCGAGTACAATTTATCAGTACCCGGCCCAGCTCTGATGATCACACTACTTCTTGAATTATAGCTGAGCATATTTTGGTCTTTACCTGGGTCTTTATACCAAATCCTGCCACATATTCATTAGATAAAAACATTCCGATACAAAAACGATACATTCAAATTCCTTGCGTCATAATCTGAATCTTTCTATACGTATACTCGTAGCTGGGGAATTATTTTCATCGCTTGGAGCGCACGAAAGGAAATTCCTATAATGTTCAAAGAACATCGTGCGTTCCTAGGGAGGATAGGGACAGGAGGTAGGTATTGGAATTTTTTTTGAACTTCTGGGGATTGTATGTTGTTGGGCATACTTCCTCAGGTGACAAAATAATTTCATATTTTTCAACCATCCACTTGTTGAATGTACTTCTCATCATTGAATCACCTCAACAGCTATGATTGGTCATGAATTGACGAAGCATATTTTTTTTCAGTAATGCTTTTACCACTCTAATACACATCTTGGTGATTCAAATTATTCTCAATTATTAAGTTTGGAATTGATGATCGATATTTGTAGGTAGCAAGAAAGGAGATATGTTATAATAACAGTTATGTTTAATTCTCATCAAAAATATATATATTCCCTTGATTCAATGACAAATTGTATTAGATCAACTATTGATAGAATTGACAAACTATTTAATTTGAACTTTCACTATTAATATTTATCGCCTTTCTCCTAAAGAGATATTTTTTAGGATACTTTCGCAGTACACAGGGTGAGTCATGAGGAACTGTACAGGGTGGCTGGAATTCGAGCCTCATCATTGGGATCTAGTGAACCGTGAGAGATACAGGGTCGGTTGAATTATGGCAAAGTTGCGCAATTTTATGCCTAACAAAATGCCGTTCTGAAACTTGTAAAATTCCGAATACTTTCGGAGATATCCGAAAAAAAAACGAATTTCCATAAAATGGTTTTTATTTTTTTCTGGCGTTATTTGAAGAAATTAATCAATATGAATAACACTTCATCGAGACCACTTTTTCTTCCCTACAACATGGCGTTTTCAAATTTGAAATCTGACGTTTCGTCTTGAAAAAATAGAGAAACTGAATTTTAGTCATTGAAACATTTGGAAATAGGAATTTGTGATAGCTCATAGTTTTTTGGGCTATCTGAAGGTAACAAAAAATGAAATAAAAAATCCAGGTCCGTATTTAAAAAAAGTAAGTTGATGATGGTTTCTGGAATACGAAACGTCAGATTTCAAATTTGATAACGCCATGTTGTAGGGAAGAAAAAGTGGCCTTGATGAAGTGTTATTCATATCGATTGATTTCTTCTAATAACGCAAGAAAAAAATAAAAATGATTTTATGGAATTTAGATTTTTTTCGGATATCTTCGGAAGTATTCGGAATTTTCAAAGTTTCAGAACGGCATTTTGTTGAGCATCAAATTGCGCAACTTTGCCATGATTCAACCGACCCTGATGTATCTCTTACGGTTTACGAGATCCCAATGATGAGGCTCGAATTCCAGCCACCCTGTACATACTCCAACCACGAATAGAGGCCCAATGTCCATTAGAAAGTGTCTTCTTCACTCATTATCTTATATATAGGGTGAATTATGAGATTTGTCAAAAACATCTTTTGGTCATAACTTTTCAAGAGCTTCTTCGATTCGCTTGATTTTTTCATGGAATATTCCTCGACTGAACCGTAATTGACTGACATTTTCAGAATCGGGAAAATCCAGAACCGTTTTTGAAAAATTGTTCTTGAGAATTTTGTGGAAATCTTATCGTTTATGAAATTTTTACAAGAATATTTTTACCACAGGACCTCATATAATCTTGGTCCCTGCTTAATAATATTCTTCACTACCTTAGTGTATAAATATTTATTTTTCACCATACTAGCTATGAAACGTACCATTATTTACCCCTTCACGAGGCGTAAAGTATGTTCTTACTGCCAAAGTAGTTTTCGCCATTTTATGAACCACTCAATGAAGACATTGTCACTTTTGTTGTAATTAACCTTTCTTCACTGTTCTGATGCGAGTTCGCAAGAATGACACTTGAATCTAGTATACTTAGTAGGTATATTTATCAATAACGACTCATATGCTGTAATGGTCATGGCTACTAGATTTTGATTAGAATTGGAAAGAAAGTGCTTCCATAGTGACAATAGGGCCATATTTCAGTTTCACAGAACTAAAATAATTGAAGTGTACTGCTATTGGTGAAAAAAATTGTATACACCTTGGTAGTAAAGGAAATTATTACGACGAAGCCTCTTAGTCCCTGGGTAATGCTAATATTATTTACTACCTTGGCGTATTTTAATAACTATCATCCCATACCTACAGCCAGCAGTGTCAATCATTTCAAATAACCGAATTTCCATCACCGGCGTTACCTTCAAAGAGTGTCTATACTATCACCAATTACAACTTCTAATCAATAAAATGTCATTTAAAGTTTTATTGGCCAAGCGTTGGCCACAGCTAATTAGTATAATTGCCAACTATATCTGAACATATTTATGAATCATGAACTTATGTTGAATAAATAATAATATGTTGGTATACCTGTAAATGTTCTAGCTTTATGGCAAAATGGCCGCTACATTTGTCATTTATTCATAATTTTATACATATCAGCTTCGTTTACGACATTTTGATAGCTATTGTTAAATGAATACGTGCCGGGAATAGTATTTTTTGTGGATATGCGGGAGTTTGAGTATATGTGTTTCTATTCTTTTACTGCCTCTAATGATATGGCTCTTAAATTAAATTCTAATCTTGCAATATACAGCTACCAAATGGATTATCACATCCTGATGTACACATTTGAATTGTTGATGGTTTATTATATCTACAGATCATTCATATGTGATTTCATGTTATTATACAGTGTGATTCAATTATTTAAAAAAAACATGAAGTGAAATATGTCTTTGTGAGGTTCACTAATGAGCTACAATACAATCACCACTTCACCATATATACAAGGTGTCTTTCAATTCGAGTAACTCGCAAAAAGGATATGGAAATAATTGGAAACGCGGCCGTTTAGCACTAATGTTGAAGAATTACTAGACGAGACTGTTATGGTGGTACTATAGTTCCCCCTAACTCCATAATGTTTGGAACTGTGTTTTCCAACTTTTTTATTCTCCAAGATAATCGCGTCGAAAGTTTTCGCATTCAAACCCTCTATATACCTACCTATCAAAACTTGTGAAGAGATATATAGTTATCTTTCTTCATCAAATACATAGTAAATTCAGAAACTTCACTAACAATTAAATAATTATTTCACTCGAATAAACTATACTGTGTTTCACATTCTTTTATGAAGTTTCTCACATATGCATGTGGATTACTCTTTAGTAAATCGATGATTTTTTGTTTCAGGAAATTCAGAGCCGAAGTACTAGTACAGAAGTTGTGATTGAAGAACTGTTCATCCCTAGACTTTAATGAATGTTCCAATTTTAGTCCGTCTTCATAACTTGTATATTCGTCCCAGTTGAAACAATAACTAACCACAAAGTATAGCCATAAGTATTTTTCTGTATTTTATACATTATGGCAAATTAGGCCAATCAGCAGAGTCACATGGAACTGTAGCTGAACTTTTGACAGTTTTGATGAAAATGTATAACTGTTCAGATCTGACTAGGAATCTATTAGCTCCAGGGGCTCATTTAGGTATAGTAGAATCCTTCCACACACATGAATACACCTGAATCACCTCAGATGATCGAGAATAGTTTTTCTGTGACAATCATCCTGAAAGTATGCAGTAACTGGAACAAATTGAATTACTACCATATTCAGGGATTCTGAGAGGATGATTCAAGTCATGTTAGGAGTTGCTACATTCTGGCACATGTTTAAATTTGAAGGAAATTCATTTTCAGAAACAAGTATTGAGTACACAAATAGTATTACGATTCTATAATAGAACATCTGGAAATTATTCAACCTGGACACATGTTCGGACCTGATATTGTCCAGAACTGAAATTGTTCTACAATGGTTCTTATTCGTCATCCACAGATTTATTTTAGACTTTATACAATTGATTTAGCTTCGAGCTATGTAAATAGCTCTAGGAAATGCTGAGCAATACACTGTCTATCGAATTTTCTTTTGTTTGGTCTTCTCTGAGGAAGCTATGTTCAGTCTTTTCTGAGGAAGTGATGGTAATCTTGTCAGCAAAACGAGAATATTTGAGGATCATTGTGATGAATGAATACCACAAAGCAATTTCGGACCTAAAAGAAGTAATATTGCCTGTCTTCCCTCTCACCTTCTAACTGAGCATTGAAAGATGGTGAAGAAAGAAGAACAATAATGTTTTTCTGAAATCGATTTTCTTCAATGATACAATAGGTGTGTTCTACATTGAGACTGATGCAGAACATCTAAGAAACATAGAGACGCGTATTTAGGAACCATGTGTTGCTATAATTCCAATAACTTGAGGAAAAATATCATAACTTCCAGTTGAGGTGTCGTTATTCTATTTATTTTGTGTCCCCAAATGATGATTCTCCAAACAGAAGGAGGAAAACTTGAAACCATTTACCTACTGAACCACCATATTGAGGATATATTATATTCCTGTGTATGGAGGAATTGTGCTTACCTATATGAACTAATGAAAATAGATAGAATTTTATCCTGGAAAGATAAATGTTGATTGCCTGTGACGAAAAATATATATAAATTTCTACTATTGTTGAATATACATAAAACATAATTCTTTGGAACTAATAGTACTTTTTTGAGGGTATTCTGTACATTAGATATATTGATGTCATTTTCTGTAACACATATTACATGTATGCATAAGATTTCCATTGTACAAATCGTGTAGGTGTAAGTCCAATCAATTTTTGGAGGTGATTGTGCATAACATGTGTTATTTTTATGTTAATTAGGGAAGTGGTCTTGATTTGGGGCCTTGTGATACATTACATTTAAATAATAGCGATAATCATAGTTATTTGAGGAGCAACTGATGAACTCATGATTCCTAATAGTTAACGGTTCAAATTTGTAGAAAGTATATATGCCGAAAATATTATGAACAAACTTGCCACATTGTCATATTCTTGCCCAGATATCAATGAATATTGTATCAGGGTCAATATGAATGTTGAAATCAAACTCACGGTTCTAATATGAATGAACAAATGAAATTTGTAGTTATACTTGTAATAGTCATGCAACTATTTTTAATGATTATAAAAATAATGTAAGTATAGGACGATGATGATGAACCTGAATTCTTGAATTTAAATACTAGCTTTAAGGGTTGTATGTTCAAGTGTAGTGTTGAATAAACTTAAGTTAACTAGATGGTAATTCTTTTTATTTTCATTTCAACAATTATAGAAATATACGGAAATTATATTGATGGGAAAAATTATGATGCAATAGATTGATGCTTATACTGAAGGATACAGTAATTTGAGTATTGTTTTTCAGAATTGATCATGATTTGGAATTGTACAATGAATACAACCGAATTGATACTATTTCGAATAGGTGTTTCAAATTAGATTTATCGATTTTATTGCATAATTGTAAGATTTTGCTAGTGTCAGTTGCCAAAATACGATACTTTCGGCTTGTCCTGAAGTGCATAAAAATTTTTTATTTCGAATAAAGAGTATACTTTTTTCAGGGATATTACGATTAGGTATGACATCACATTACTAACGATATATCACAATCATATTTTCAATTGACAATCTAGTCATATAATTGAAATTCAACAAGATAATGTCTTTCTGTAATTCCCTCGTGAAGAAATATTTGCATGAAAGTGTGCAATGGATAATGAAACAATAGCATGTGAAGTCAAAGTTGTTACACAATAATTTTTATGCATATCACTAACTATTTTTTACAATCTTGGTTTTTCTTCAATTTTCAACACCAATGAACTAATTGTTTTTCAAATGCTATCATAGCATTTTTTGAAGTTTGTTAGAATCTCCCAATCATATTGGAATACAAGGCAGTTAAATGAATTCAATTTTCTGTTTCTTATTCAGTTTCCATGAAGATATTCTCCATGCTATACCTTAATTGGCTATGATATTTATTTTTTCCATGGGTTAGAATTATTATTGAAACTGCAAAATCTGACGCACGAGAATATTTGATTTGATAATTTTTTCACATGTTACATGGGGAATAGAAAGCGTATTTCCTTATGAAATCTCAATCATATGAGTATAGATTGACGATCGAACGTTCGATTGTTACATATCGTTTGGAAAATAATTTTATACTGAATCGTAATTTCCAGACAAAAATCATACCTACTTTGTATTTGAAATGAAATATTGGATGCACTTTCGGTCAAACCGGAAGAGTCATATTCGGTCTGATACTAACGAAATTATACAATCATGAAATCAAATCGATATTCTGAATTTGAAACATCGATACAAAATAGCAACGAAGATATCGGGGAGTAAATTGGTTCAGGGTCACCCGTATATTAAAACTGTTTTAATCTTCTCCTGAAGATGCTAACATAGTTAGCGAAACACGTGTCGAGGCGTTAAAAAATCGGTTTGGTTAGTGGTAAAACAGTGTAGTGTATTGATTTATATATTTATCCTAAAGGAGCAAAACTGACCTATAGGAATAAAGCTCTGGAAACTTTGGTAGTCCAAGCACAAGAACTGAGCTCATTCGCTTTGTAATCCTCGCTACATGAAATTCTCAATTCGAACTCTTGATAAATTGCACTATAAAAGGGTTATGAATCAAGTCGTTAAAATGAATATTTTGAATTTCTAGTTTGGCTGAATTTCAAAGTCAGCCAGTAAAACTTAATGAGAGAAACTTATCATTTATAACTTGTCCAGAAAATAGCAATAATAAGATCATGTTTTTTTATGTAATAAGAGGAAACATCGCTTCCAATCGCTGACATGAAAATACAAGAACTGGAAATAATAAAACTTAGGCGATAAAATTGGTTTATTACCGATAAATTTTCAGCCGTAAAACTGTAGGTAGATTCAGCGAGCTGAGAGCTTATCTTGGGTCTCAAGGTAAGTATCTTTACTTGTTTTAATTTGAAGTAGATTTTATGGATTCCGCATAAAACTATCACGAAGTGTTTCTTCCGTTTTGTTTTTGGCGGTGAAACTTCACAGTGAAAAGTTGTAAAAGTAATAAACTTGATGGAATCTGATGAATAGCTCACGTTAACCATATTGTATATATTTATTATTAATGATGGACCTACTGGGGTGGTATGCAATTAAAACATCGATTTGTTTGCCAGTCCGCAGCATTTTATTTCAGTCCGAAAATTCTACACACCCTTATAATATTCGATAGGTATTCCAATTCTGACTGTACATCATGGGTGAGCAACTTGAGGTCAACCCAGGGTTGAGGACAAGTGACTATATAATTTGGCAAAGCATATATATCGTCTGAGGAATAGTAGCGATATAGAAGAGTGTCTACAACGGTTTCCTGGTCTGAGATTTTAGCAGTAATCTTGTCAGGGTTGGGCCTTTGATGAGCCTGATTCAGGAAGTGCTTTGCAGCTAATCCCCAGGCATGCGAACTGTACTCAAAAGGTGTGTCTGATCTTTCTGATTATTATATTCATCAATTATTATACAGGCTATTTCTTGTCTCTGTATATGAGACAATCCATCAAAGTTATTTATGCAAGAATTTTGGGGGTCAATATTGATGATAAGCTAACCTGGAATAATCATATTGATAGTGTTGAACTAATGCTTAGTAAACATATATCTACTTCGTCAATTGAGACAAACAGCTATAGTTTCTTTCGATGTTCTCAAACTTCTATAGCATAGTTCGATACAATCTGTCATAGCTTATGGTCTTGAACAATCGGGTTTATCTCATTCATTATACAGAAAAGAGCAATAAGAATTATGACAGGTGCATCTTCCAAAGATTATTGCAGGCCATAATTCATTATTCATTATAATATTTTAAGAATGCCCAGTTCGTATATCTATATAACTTTAATATATTTTTAGGAATAATCAAGTATACCCAAAAATGAACGAATTCATGATCATTTCACTAGGAATTGTAATCAATAACATCCATCTCGTAGTAGATTATCAGTATCACAGAATCATTCCATGTACTATAGATAATAATCTTAGTGGAGACATTAAATCGTCTTCAAATTGATGTGTTCAAGAGGCAACTCAAATTTCGAGCAATGCTCTACAACATTTTCAGGTAAAGTTTGGAATTCATTATTTCTCGAAATTTTTCATTTTCGACTAAAGGTTATTTCATTTCTACTTGTTTTTATCGTTTTCCATAACCTATTACATTTATCAATCCAAAGTCTGAAATACTGTATTGTATGAACATAGATTCAGTGGGTATGGATTTTCTTTCATTCGTCTGAGGATATACCTATCATCTATGATCTATGCTTTATCTAAATAGTCTGTATTTGGAGTTGAAAAAGTACTAGCATAAAATAAATATCTTATTGTACTAGATCTGTATTCAACGCCATCTAGTAGTTATCGATCGAACTTACGACTTCCAAGAGGTCGTTGCAGCTGAGAAAGAGTGAGTGAACTATTTACTGCTGAATCCCACTTAATAGATTTTCTTGAAAGTTATCAGAGATGCCACCAGGTGACGGTAATGACGACGAAATTGAGAATAAAGATTTTGAAGCTGATGGCATTTTTTTGTGCTAAGCATATATAATTCATGAAAAATCTTGATTCAGCATTGTACTCATCAATGATAGTTGAAACAAAGAAACAGAAAATAAATTGTGAATAAGGGTTGTTCGAAATTCGTTATTGAAAAATGGCATCCCCAATCCCAGATATGTGATCCAGAATAAAATCGATGTCCAGTTTCGTGAGAGCTGAGTTCTGAGAGACGAATCTGAAGAAATTTGGCAACTCTTTCAATGGCTGATATCCTAGCATCACTGACCCATGCCTCACCATTATAGCACGGATTTGTGGAGCGACCTGTGGATAAATAAGCAATAAGAAAAAGTGACTTTGTACTCGTATCCTAGACAGACACGTTCAAATATACTTATTTCATGATATTCTTATAGAATGTTCTCAGAATGATCATAGAATATTCTCATCCTGCAGTGAATATTCTATGGACATTCGAATTGACATATTCTCAGAATATTCTCTTTGAATGTTCTGGGAATATTCTTATTGAATATTCTGAGAAATTTCAGAATCGTATCAAAATAAATGATATTGATGTACCTATTCTTGTATCAATATTCATAATGTTTGCCCTGACATAACCTATCATTCTCTAACCTCAATGCTGATTATCCCACTGATTCAGTGTTGTTATCTTTCTATTAATTTTGATTATCAATATAAGGTTCGTGGTCGGGTTCGTAAAAATTCGATCACAAGATAGTAGGTTCGCATCTCCACAGGAGCAAGCTTTCTTTAATTTCCTTCCTTCTCCTTCAATATACCATGAATATTCTCAAATTATTTAAAACAGTTCATTCCGAATGTTCATACACATAAACCACAACAAAAACAACCATCAATAACGACGAATATAATACCGTACATTCCCGGAATATCTGAAAAAATAAAACGTGTGGGTGATAAGTTCCAAGTGAAAACTGATGTGTTCAAAACTGAAAATACAATGAGATCCATCTAAACTCAAACAAACCCAAAAAATGAAGAACAATCATTAACAAATTGTATTTATAGTATACCTTGTGTTTGTGGAAAGTATTATACAGGTGAAACGAAAAGACCTCTCTCAGTAAGGACAGAGAGCACAAGTACAATATCAAGAAAAGACTTATCGATAAATCGAAGCTAACTGAATATATCCTTACGTAAGATGAACAACATTATGATAGAGTGGAATAATATCAAAATCATAGGAAAGGAAGATAACGAACAAAAAAGAAAAATCAAGGAATCCGCTTGCATTCTTCTGAACGGAGACAATAGCACTGCTTCCTGTTCAGTTGATATAGATAGAACGTGGTATTCACTACTGAAAACTGAACATGAAAATGGTAGATTCAAGATCAATTAATTAAAACATCTTGTAACTCAATTGTAGACTAAAATCACTCATTCATATGCCAACATCAATATGACACTGAAAAGTGCCAAACCACCTATAAGCAGCACAACTTCCAAAGAGAAATATTTTGCATTTTCATATTGAAAACGGGAGCAGAGATTTGGTCCCGAAACGTCCAAAGATAAGTAAAAATTCGATATTTTTTCAATATATCTATATTTCTTTCCTTCGAACATTTTCTCAAAAGAATGGTCAGTGAAAAGCCACTGGATTTTTCTTTCAGGCTCCCTGATAGAAAAATTTGTAAAATGCAGTGACATTTTGTAACAAATCATCTGATTTGTCCCACTACAAATAAATTGAAATAATACGCATATTTTACATTATTTTGGTGCAAGTCAACCTCTGATAATATGGTTGTGAGTTTTATAATGTTGTATTGTATACTGATAAAATAGTGGGTAGTTAATACCAAACGTTTAGTATAATAGGCGCCAGTCACAACATTCATCTAATAATACCACAACAGAATTGTACCACCACGAAAAAGTATGAAACTTAAAGTATCGTGTGATACAATTTCGTTGTAGTATTCGATGAATGTAGTGACTGGTGCCTATTTTATCAAACCTTTGGTATCTACATAGGTATCTACTACCGACAATATTTTTTCTCAGTGTAACAAAATCATCCTCCAGATCCTAAATACGGAGCTTGAAAAAACCTGAACTCCAGGTCCCAGAACAAACACTACAAAAGCTTATACCTACCTTCTGTAGCTGCAGAGCGTATTCCAAAATATTTGTCCTTCCTCTCAAATATCTTGGCAAATACCAGAAACACACGTTCATATACTGTCTTTCAGAAACCAGCATGAATTCCGGTCTGTTATTTACTTGCTCTTCGAAATAATCTGCCAGATCCATTAACGTATCGATGTGATTCGCAAAGCCCGACGATCCCTAAAAGAAAAAAACAATCTCAAAACGCAATCACCAAACATTCAAACGGGAGATATCATACGAAGATAGATATATACCCCTTTGTACTGGATGTTATGTTTCAAAGGCATTCATTATACCTCAAGAAATCACAATTTTTTTTTTTATTCAATATAAGATAAAGATACATGAATGTGCCCGAATTTTTTGAGGTGATACCTTAGAGGACTTCTGTTCGTCTGGTTTCTTTGTCCATTCCAGTGATATTTCATTTGATTAAATTATTGTTATCGTCGATAATGATCTCTCTCTCTCTATGCTTAGAAAATGGATGTAATCTATTCGCTTGATGCATATACCATCAATATAACTTCTCATTTACACTGCCTAAACAGTATAATTGACTATTAATAGTTCATAGCCAGTTAGGACTGACGAGTATTGTTTTCAGAGATTTTAGTTCTGACGTAATGTCCATTAGGGTATCGATTTTATACCCATGTATGTGCATACTTCAATAAACTTCTGGTGTTCACTTACCTAATAGTACCTGTTAAAGTAGACTCCAGAAAGGCGAACTTCTATATTAAAACACAAATTAAACTGACAAGTTCAATATATTTGACAAACTACCTTTTTTTTTTAAACAACTACACAGTTACATCAATAACCAACACACTTTGATTAAACTTGATAATGATAAATATCTCAATACTCTCCCTCATTGAAAAGTTTTTTATTTAAGAGAATACTCCCATTTCTTGGCAGAATTTCTGAAATCGGAGTCTAGGCATCGGTTTTGTCATAACATCAGCAAGTTGAAACTCAGTCGGTACCTTCTTGACATTGATTTCACCTTCGGTGACAAGTTCCCTCACGAAAAAGTGTCTCGTTCTTATATGCTTGGTTCGACGATGATATTCGGGATTCTGAGCTAGTTTAATTGCAGCTTCGTTGTCAATTTGTAGTTCAGGAAGACATTTCAATCCAGAAATTTCCAAAAATATTCGTTTCAACCAAATCATCTCACGTGCGGCTTCACTTGCAGCTACAATTTCTGCTTCTGTTGTTGAAATTGCAACTGACGTCTGCTTTTGACTCAGCCATGTCACTGTACCTACTGAATATAAACAAATAACACCCGAAGTAGATCTTCCAGAAACATCTCCTCCGTGGTCTGCATCACTGTAGCTTTCCAGTAATCCAGGTTTATGATCAGCTTGGTAGTGTATTCCGTAGTCTACAGTCCCCTGTATATAACGGAAAATACGTTTAACTCGTATAACATCTTCTTTTGTCGGGTGTTCCAAACTACGAGAAACAACTCCAACTGCATAAGCTATATCGGGTCTGGTAGCAATCATCAAATACATCAGTGATCCTACAGCTTGTCTGTAAGGAAAATCAGAAAGTCCTTCATTTTCAACTTCTCCTGTCCCAGAATTATCTTTCGTTATTGGAGTAGATACTGGTCGGCATCTTTCCATACCAAATCGCTGTAAGATTTTCATGGTATATGATTTTTGATGGATTTTTATCGAGCCATTGTCAAATCGTTCGATTTGAATGCCCAAGAAGAATGTCGCAGGCATCACTGTTATTTTAAATTCACTTTTGAGATTTTCAATAACTTCAGCAACTGCTTGTGGATTTGTAGCAGCAATTAGTCCATCATCCACATAAAGAGCTAGCAAAATTTTACTCGAATTCGTATTTTTTATGAAAAGACATGGATCAGCTTGACTTTTATCAAAACAGAGTGTTTCTAGGAAACCAACAAATCGTTTGTTCCAGCAACGAGGCGCTTGCTTGAGACCATATAGACTTCTCCTTAATCTGCACAGTCTACTGGTTCCATCTTGATAGCCTTCTGGTTGATGCATGAAGATTGTTTCTTCCAATTCTCCATAGAGAAACGCAGTTGAAACGTCGAACTGGATAAGTATCAATCTTTCACTTGCTGCAACACTCAAAAGCACTCGTATGGTTCCTGCTCTTGCTACTGGGCTGAACGTTTGGTCGTAGTCGATTCCTTTCTTTTGCGAGAACCCTTTGATCACAAGTCGAGCTTTATATCTATCAATGGTGCCATCCGGGTTCGCTTTCACCTTGAATACCCACCTACAGGGAAGAGCTTTCATTCCTTCCGGAAGTTTTTCTAGAGTCCACGTGCCATTTTCATTCAGTGATTGAATTTCGTTGTCCATAGCTTTCCTCCACTCATCTTTCTCTACCGAATTCATCGCTTCTGTGAATGAGGAAGGTTCAGGTACTTGATTCACGTGTGCTATGGCTGACATGACGAAATCATTGAACCTCTGTGGCTGATTCATCTTCGATCTTTCTCGCAACTGTCTTCCTGTATTCTCTTGATCATTTTCTTCACTAGTTTTTCCTACTTCAATTTCCTCTTCCGATGAAAATGATTCATTGTCTTTTATGTCTTCACTTCCACAAAATGTCTCCGTTTGGGACTCCATTTCGGCAGTATTCTTCAGATGGATTTCTTTGGTCGGAAGTGTTTTTTCTTCAAAAGTTACATCTCGGGACCTTATCAACTTATTGTTTTCCTTACACCAAATCCGATAACCATCATATCCATCGTAGCCGATTAGAATACCCTTTATGGCTTTTCTGTCCATCTTCTTTCTATTTTGTTTAGGAATGTGAGCATAACAGGTACTGCCGATAATTCGAAGATGCTTTATACTTGATTTCTTCCCGGTCCATACTTCCAAAGGAGATTTATCTGCAACACCAGAGGGTCCGCTCAAATTCAGGATATATTTGGCAGTATTGATCATTTCAGCCCAAAGACCTTGTGGAATTTCTCCATGAGAATGCATCAGAGTTCGAGCAGTCTCTACTAATGTCCTGTTTTCTCTCTCAGCACAGCCGTTCTGTTCAGGAGTATACGGCATAGTGAAACGTTGATTTATTCCATATTTGGACAGAATTTCTCTGACATTCTGGCTGTCAAATTCTCCACCATTGTCACATATGAGCTCTTTCACAATGTGACCTGCTGTTTTTACTTTTTGAAGCATTTGTATCAACATTGTAGGCACTTCTGATTTTTCTTTCAAGAAAAACACTTCTCGAAAACGTGTAAAGTCATCTTTGAAAAGTACGTAGTAGCGGTAACCTGAAACTGATCTAAGGAATGGCCCACAAACATCAGTGTGTAGGATTTCTCCAGGTTGACCTGCTCGCTCTCTTGTGCTAAATTTCTTACGATGAGCTTTTCCATAAACGCAGCCTTCACATACTTCGCTATCCAGATTAACTTTAACTCCGAGATCACGTTCGATAACTGATCTCACATGTCTCTTGTTTTGATGTCCTAGTCTTTCATGGAATAACTGAAGTTGGCATCCATTTGAAACTATATTTGATTCAGCTTGTATTGGTTTATTACTGACTGCTAGCATATAAAGTCCATTGTTTTTAGTTCTGAAGCCTTCTAATATAACCGTTTCACCTATTATGAAACTGCATTTGTCCACTGTTGATATGAAACGGCTATCAGGATGCTTGTCTTGGGCAGCTAGTACTGAGAAAAGATTCTTCCTAATGTTTGGAACGTACCAAACATCACTCAAAGTTACTTCAAACTTATTTCGAGCAACCTCTGCTTTGAGAATGATGGTACCTCTTCCTAAGGCCTGGACAGATTCACCATTAGCAGTTGTGACACTATGGGTAGTGGTGAACTCTTCAATGGTTTCGAAAAGATCCAAACGATGAGCGATGTGATTTGTAGCTCCATTATCAACGAACCAACTGTCGTGATCGGAATCATTGGCCAAAAAACATTGGTTAATCAATATGAGTACTATATTTGCTCTTGACTTGTCTGCGTTTGCCTTCGAAGAATCTGGTTTCGGTGGTTTTCCGTCAGCATGCCATTTGGGACAATTTCGTACTCTGTGACCTTTCTCGTGACAATAATTGCACAACCACTCGGTAATTGACTTCTTGAACTTACTGGGTTTCCTTTGCTGTGAGGATTTGGCTAACATCACTTCTTGGCTTACATATTTACTTCTCTCCTGCTGCATAAGAGCTCTCTCATAGGCACATAATTGATTGGTGAGATTGTCGATAGTTCTATCATTCTTAGCAATCAACATCCAACTGGATCTGAAGGAGAAGTAGTTTTCTGGCAGTGTTTCCAGAATTTTACAAATAAGTAACAGCTCTGGTAACACTATGGCATCTTCTCTTTTGATCTCCAATTTCAATTCATTCCAGAGATTTTTCAGCTTGGACATATGTGTAGCTACATCATCACTGGCTTCCTTCTGATAACTGAAGAACTGTAAGCAGGTATCATAAGCTTTGTTTTCAGATATTCCGTCGAAGAGTCGGTGCAGCTCTTGCCATATTTCGCGAGCACTAGAAAACCTCATGATCTTTTTCAGAGTCTCTTCTGTCATGTTGGTCGTAAGTATAATCATTGCACTACTTTCGGTTTTTCTGAAGTCGCACAGCTCTTTATTGTACTTGGTAACATCTCCAGCACTAGCACCAGCCTCCAAAGCTTTTGGTTCTTCGAGAGTTCCTTCTACAACTTCCATAGCTCCGACAATACCTCTTAGTAGCGTATAGACTTTGTACTTCCACGTTGACCAATTTGCCTTCTAATAGTACAATTTGTATTTTGGTGAGTTCCATCTTTCTGCGACTTATACGTTTTTACTTTTACTATTAGTATTGCGTATCTGGGCTCATAACCTGTTAAAGTAGACTCCAGAAAGGCGAACTTCTATATTAAAACACAAATTAAACTGACAAGTTCAATATATTTGACAAACTACCTTTTTTTTTTAAACAACTACACAGTTACATCAATAACCAACACACTTTGATTAAACTTGATAATGATAAATATCTCAATAGTACCTACTCTGTGTGTTTCTTTCTGGGAGATGATTATGGTAGATTGAATGGGGATGTCTCTCAAGTCTTTTTCTGATTATTGATATGAGATTCAGCAGCATGAACCATGCTTACTGGTA